CACACAGACCATCGCAGACACACCCAGAGAAGGCTCACATACTCCATGGTCAGGTCGCGCTGGTGGGAACAGAGATGGAGGACGGTATTGCAGGTCCCCCGCGTGGGAAGTCAGCTTCCAAAACCACAAACACTCTGGAGGGTTTCTGCTGCTCCCACCTGCCTCCGGAGGGCAGCCAGCAGATGCAGGGTGCCAGCGGGAGGGGTCAGGTGGACCCGTGTGCCACTGGGCCTTTCTGCCCTGGGAGGCATTGGAGGTGGATGGCTGAAGCGGCGGAGTTTACAGTGTGCTGTGGACGGGGCTCCCACAGCAGGTGGGCAAGGCGGGTCTACTGGCCTTGGTGCCCTTTCCAGGACTGAGAGACGATGTCTTTTCTCTCCAGGCTTGGATGCCTGTTATCTGCAAACACACACAGAAGGCACAGTGCTGAGCGCAGAGTGGCCCTTCCAGCTCAGGGCGACTGACCGCAGAGCCTTCTCTGAAGTCAGCCTTGGATGAGACAGTGGTTCAGCATCTCTTAAAAATGCACCTACCTCAACCCCACCCTTGGAGATCCCAATCTAGTGGGTTGAGAATGGATCTTGGGCACGTGCATCTCCAAAAAGCCCGCTCAGCAATTCTAAGTTTTCCTCAGCAGAGAACTCCCGGCATGGGAGTTGGGGGAGAGACAAAGATGCCACTGGGCCTGGAGGTGCCGGGGGGGGGGGATTTCATCAAAAAGAGGGAAGTTATTTCATCTCCTTCCAAGATGAAGTGTGGAGCCGGCTGGCTGCTGGGAGCCTGGGCAGTGATGTCCGTCTCAGCTTCTCCAGCAGGGGTGGGGCTGTCCAGAGGGCGGAGCAGCATCCCCGGCAGAAGCTGGGAACCTGGGGCACTGCTGTCCACGGGACTCGGTTTCATAAAAGATCAATCGAACGGGGACTTAGCAACCGTCCCCTCACACCCCCTCGCTGTGCAAATGAGGAAGCTAATTCAGGTGGTCCCATGTGCGTAAGGGGAAGTATTGGCAGAGTCTCAGCCAAATTCGGGGGAACCCAGTGTTCTCCTCTTTCCTGCAGTCATGGGAGGCCCACAGGAGGTCAGAGCTGGCCTTAAATGGGTTGGATATCATAAAAATGTTGCAATACTATGGGGGGAACAACCACCCAGAAATTCATGAAATGACAGGAGGATGTGAGATGTGCACACCTGAAGGGAGTTCTCTGGATAATGCTTGGGTGTAAGACGATGGGGAAAAAAAATCTGAAAATGAAAAGGTATAATGAGATATACACAACTGAAGGGAATTGTCTTAAATGGCTGATTGTAATGAGATGTACATAAATTGTAAGGCTTGTAATGAAATGAAAAAAATATTCTTGCCTGATAATACTGGGTGTAATGTCTACACCAGAAATAAGTCGTCTCAGTGCACTGAGTGTAATGAGATGCACATAATTTTAAAGAGTGTAATGAGATGAAAAATAAATCAAACACTTGTCTTAAAATGAAAGATGTACTAAGATACACACACCTGAAGGGCATTGTCCTAAATGGGTTTGATTTAATGAGATGCATTTAATTTGCAAAGGGGCTAAATGAGATTGGCCCAGAGAGAGGCTGAAAAATAAAAGTATAAGGTACACTTGAAAGCGATAATAAAATCTGCCTTGTCTGAGATACCAACGTGAAAATGCATGGAGTATGATGTGACTGGCATCCTCTCTGCCAGTCTTCTGTGACCCTTGGTCTGGGATGGTCGGCAAAGTCAAATTATCCTCTGTCCCCTGCACGATGCCAGGATCCTAGCAGGCACCTGTGGATGCTCCCTGAATGATCACCTGGCTCAGGGGGTTGTAATCTATTCAGCAAAAGGAAGTTAAGGAAAGCAGCTATAAAACAAGGAACGGCTAAAAGGCAACTGAAAGCTATGTTCAGTGAGTGATGTTTCTCAAAGTCTTTAAGAATCTTGTCTTGGAATCTGGGAAAAAGCTGGTCATGGGATTTGATCTGCACATATAACAAGCAGCCCTAGTGGTTTTCATGCCCCAAGGTTGCCTCTGGAGGCCAGGTAGGAAGGAAACATGTGAGTGAAGGTGTGTCTGGTTGTGAGACACAGGTAACTTTGCCATTAAAGGTCAGAGATTCTTCACTTTTACAAACAAATATATTCACTCCAATTGTTTTTCAAAGGCAGAGCTCTCTTGGGCTATCTTGTTTTTTCACTCTTGATGGAGATCTATCAGTATATAAGATCTAATCAGTGTAGAGGTCTATTTCCCTCTTTAACAGCCACTCAAAAATTGGACAGAAAGGCAAAAAGAAAAAAAAGAAAGAAAGAAAGAAAAGAAAAGAAAAGAAAGAAAAGAAAAGAAAAAAAGGGAGGAGGAAGCATAATTAGCCAATGACCCAACCAAAGAGTGACAGCCCAACAAGAAATGGCGGCTGACCCTCAGCCTCCATGTTGGGAGACCGCAGGAGGAAAAATGTCACGACCATCTGGGGCCACATTGTCAGGGGCAGCAATGACTCAACAACACTCGACTGTGGCCAGGTGGGAATAGAGGTCCCCAGTTGCCTGATTGCACAATTTGTCAAGAGAAACCAAGAATCTGGATTTTTTATGTGCAATCTCCTAACTTAAATGTTGATCCCCCAATTTTACAAAACAATATATAGTCCAAACAAAACACATCTGTGAGCTGAATCTGACCCGAGCGCCTCCTGTTGGCGACTCTGAACTGCCCTAGGACGCCGTCACATCTCAACCACGAGTGCTGTCACAGGCTCGCTTTCAGCCTGTCTTCCCCTGGGATGGGAATTCTGTGTCTTTGTTGATCGCAGCTGCAGCCTTAGTGTCTAAAACTGCCTGGGACAGAGTTTGCGCTCAGTTAATGCATGAATGAATGAGTCCTGAAATTGAACTCTGGTCATGAACTGCCCTGAGCGGGAATCTCCAAATCTGAAAGATCTTCCCTGATGAGGTTGGGGCCAGAAGTCAGCCTGAACGGTTCCCAGGGCCCTGATAACACGGCTCCTTCTGGGTGTAAAGAAAATCTCCGCACCCTACTCCACATTGTTCCATCTCTCCTTTTTTTGGTGGGGACGGAGAATTAGGTTTGTTTGTTTGTTTGTTTATTTATTTAATGGAGCTACTGGGGATTGAACCGAGGACCTCGTGCATGCTAGGCACTGAGCTATACCTTCCCCTTGTCCCATCTCTCTTATTTCTACCCGGATTGTGGCACATCTTCTCTGTGGGTTGGAAAGGATTAGGGCCATGCACAGAGGTTGCTGCCTTCTCAAAATACAGCCACTCACATCTCGAATGATTTAGGAAACCCCTTTTTCGTTGGCAGCATGGTTGAAAAGATGGCAGAACTTGAGAGAAAAACTCAGGAAGGAGGAGGAGAGGCTGGGGCAGGCTGCTCTGTAATTTCTTAGACTGATGTTTCCTAAAATGTGTTTGTATAATACTAGTATAACTGAATAGATGCTACTTGGAAAAAAAAGATAAATATATTTGGGGAACAGGTTAAACATATTTCTTCCCTGCAGGACTTCTCAGAACCTTTAACATACTAATGTGCGTTATGAAGCTCCTCTGACAAAGTATAACATGCAGTTCATCCTAGATTCATTCACACCTGGAATTTTTTTTTTTGACTGCCTATCTTTTAATAGTGTGTTCCTTGGAAAACACTGCTTTGAAAGCCATCTTCCTGGCTCCAGGAGGCGACGTTCTAGGTGTCATCTTCCTGTGGATCTTGAGACTTTTTTCCACTGCCCAGAGGCAGGGCCTCTACTGTGTTTGCAGGACTCTCCGGATGTGACGGGAGGGATGGGCTCTGGGAGGGCGGTGACCCAGGGGGCCACTGTCCAAGCTGCGTGGGGGCCCATTTTGCCTGTGTGACCATACCCTTCCCCATCTTCAGCCTGGCCAGAGGGTGTCCGCAGGTATGTGTAAACTCTCCAGCCTTTGTGAATGTGAATGAGGAACTCCCCGTCCTGCTTCTAAACTGATGCTCTGGACATCCCAGAACAGGGCGCAGATAAGGAAACCTCTAGGCTGAAAGTGACAAAAAGACTGCTTCTCCCTTAGTTAGGGAGATAAGCTGTCTCTAAATTTCTTCTTGCTCCAGGGAATACCGTGCTGAACTCTGGACTTAAAGGGCAGGCCCCTCTCTGGGCGCAGCTGGAATCAACGTGGCAGTCACGACTGCGTCTCCTGCCCAAGTCCTGGGAGCTGAGGTATGGGGCGAGGTGGGCTTGTGAGAGCTGGGGGAGGGGCAGCTTCAGGGGTGAAAACCCTTGGAACCTCGGATTGAGGCAGGAAAAGCAAAGGCTTTGGAGGGAGGTGGAGCGTGGTGGAGAGGGGACCGTGGTCTGAGCTCCCCTGCTATGGGGACAGACTGCCAGGAGAGGGCAGTGCAGAGCTCCCATCTTCTCTCTTTGTCTTCAAGCCAGGCACGTTTGCCACCCCTGGCTGTCTTCCTCCCCAGACAGGTAAACTGAGGACACCCAGAAAGCCCTCTTCCTCGCTCCCTTTCATGGGTGGTCAGGTCAACAAGGGGTATGCTGAGGCCTCCAAATTTTCTTTGGTCCAGGATCCCACTAACCCCAAAGCACAGAAAAACAGAACAGTGCACCAGAATTATGGTAGGTAATAAGGTTTACTGCAAACTTCTCGGCCACATTCAGTACTGGTTTGGTGGATACATCAGAAGAGGTTGCATAACATTAGGCAGGTGGAGGGGGCTGGGAGGAGGATGTGTGGGCACGTGTGTGCAGGTGTGCCTGTGCTGGGGTGGGATGCCTGTCCAACATGATGAGTGGAAGGGTGTGTGTGTGTGTGTGTGTGTGTGTGTGTGTGTGTGTGTGTGTGTCTTAACAAGAAAAATGAACCAGAGCAGGAAATGTATTTTATCCCACTGCACGTTGCAAAGTCTCACGCCAAAAAAGCTAGACTTCCCTCTACCTATGGCATCAAAAGGGAGTAAAAAATGATTGGATCACCCGGATTATAAATAAGATTATTTGTTTCTCAAAAATCCCTATTAAAACATTAAATATCAGCTCTTTTGGGGGAGAAATACATTCATCTCAGGGAGACCTCAGGAAAGCCACCACCATCCTTTTGCTCCACCTCGGAGGGCCCTGAGGGGCCCCTCGAGTTGAGCCTGGTAGCCACTCACATCCTGCCATGACAGCGATGGCCAACGCACAACTGACAAATGAAACTGCAAATCCATTAAATTCAATTCAATGGAAAACACACGTGTGATCAGCCCTGTCATTCACAGCCACAGGGGTGGAGGGGACGGGAGGAGTGGGGTGCCAATCCTGGGGGCCTGAAAGTTGGGGTGGGAGGGTGTGTGTTGGGGCAGACAGTGGGAAGACTCCTCCTCACGGAGCCCCAGTTCCTCCAGTGCGTGTCGGACAGCAAGGCGGGTGGGGTGGGGCACCCCTTGGCTTCGGGGTGCATTTTTCTGGGCCCTCCAGCACACTTTGGATATTGATGGGAAGAGGGATGTAGCACCTTCTCCAGCCCCTGGCTTCCCAGTGGGCTGGATGCTTCTTTCCAATGTTTCTTCTGCCTTCTCTGAAGGATGGAGCGAAGATGAGAGGATGAAGGCTGGTGGAGCCAGCTTGGTAGCAGAGGGATGGCAGTGCGGGACTGGAGGGGTGGACAGAATCCAAGATAACCTGGCCCCACCCTCTCTGGAGGCCCACGGAAGGGGTGGAACGTGTGAGGAGCTCCATCTGAGGGCTGCAACGTCTGTGATAAGACACCACTGTCCTGCTGTTACAGGAGCTGAGTTCTGTGACCACCTGGGGATGGCTGTGGTCCCCAAGGTCACCTTGATAAGGCTCCTAGCCCAGGTTCTGCCATCTTCTTGTGTCCTGGAGGCAACCCAGGTGATGGGACTCCTCTTTACCTCCTGTAATTTGAGCCCACCAACTTAGCTTACCATTTATTTCCAGGAGAGAGAGATAAGGTGGTTCTGGCGGCTCCTGTCCCTCTCTCCTAAGTCCACAGTGGCCTTGCCTGGAGACAGGGCCTTGGAGGAGTGAGTGGAGCCCTACGGAATCCAAGTCCCGATCTGATCTGCAAGATGTGGTGCCTCTCACCCTCCCCCACCCCCAGCCATTGGTTATGCATTTAGACTCCCTCCTGCCCTTGAATGTCTCTCAAAGGAGATGAGAAACCTTCTGAAGGTGGAAGCCAGACCCCCTTTGCCTCTCCCTTTCCTCCTAACTCTGTCCCCTGGCAAAGGCTCACTCTGTGAACAGCGCTGATCCCACCTCGCAGTGCAGGGCTTGTAAACAACTCAAGTCCGTCAGTAGGGGGCCGTGGGTGCCATCTGTCCTCAGGGATTCGGTGAGTCCAGATCTCACTCCTGCCTCTCCATTGAGGCTGCTCGACTGGCCCCATCAAACGGCGTCCTCTGCAGTTCTAGGGAGGTGGGGCCGGGGCACTCGCTGAAGCCTGGTGGTCGGGAAGGAGCAGGTGTTTCCTCTGCATTTCTTCCAGCTACTGATTTTGGGAAGCTAGGGCCCAACTTCCTTGGGGCGGCCTGCCCGTGTCCCCTTCCCCCCCACCCTGAAGCCCTCCTGACGACACTCCTCTGCTGCACGGCGCTCAGTGCCATCTGGGCTGCCCGACTACTCCAGGGAGTCACTGTGTTCCAAGCCCAGGTCGCTGACATTCGTTGTCTGTAGTTCATCGGCCTCCTCCTCCAGCTCCTCCTCCTCCTCCTCCTCCATCTCATCCTCATCCTCTTCTTCTGTCCCGTCCAATGAGTCATCGTGTGCGGCCATCATAGCCTGCTGCATGGCCATGGTGGCATTGTCTGAGGACAGGGACTGCAGGTTGTCCAAGTTGATGGAACCTACATGAGGGAAGGTGGCAAGGGTCAGGCCCAGGAAACCCAGTGCTGGACCGAGTTGGGTGGGGTGGTGAGGTCCTAAGCTGGACAGTTCCTTGGTAGGAAGTCTCCCATCCTTTCAACTGTCAGCCACTCCTCGCCCCTTCCCAAGCAAAGCACTCCTGGGTACATTTCCTGAGTATCTTCTGTGCAAGTACATCACTGTTGACTTTCAAAGAATTCTTTAAATAGGTATTATCGTCCCCATTCTAAAGAGGAGGAACCAGACTCAGACAGTTGAGTCACTAGCGCAGGGTGGCACAGGCAGGCATGGTACAGCCGGGATTCTCTCCGTGGCTGGTCTAGCTTAAAATTGTTGATTTCTACTATACCTCATAAGACATTGCCCACCGCACAGGAACTGGTACACAACCACATACACGCACGTAGACACGTGTACACCTCCACTCCTCTTCCCACACAGAGCAAGCTTCACATGCCAGGCTATAAAATGTCTGGCTCATTGAATTATTCATTGTGCACCAGGCGACTGGCAATTAGAAAAGTGTATACAGAGGGTGTGATGGAGAAGCTAGAAAACAAAGCTCTTCGTGGCCTCTGTTCACAAGCCAGCTGCCTGCCTCGGTATTTATAGATGACCCGGGCTCTTAGGGAACTGTGCAAGCACTGACTGGCGCTAAGGGACTCAGGGTGGGTGTGGGAGTGAGGAGAGGGGCTCTGCTGAGTAGCCATCGACTCAGATGACCACCCACTGGCTCCCACTCGTCTCTGTGAACTTGCTTTGGGCTTGTTAAAATAAATGCAAACCCCCCCCTTTCTTTCCGGCTCACATACAGCCCTGGCTGGGGACCAGGTAGGGATAACCATTGTGCCAGAGCTGCCACTGCCACTCTGGGGAGCTGATGTCCAGCCTCTGACTCCGTGCCCAGCCTGTCCCCAAGGAGCGGCGGGAGCCCCACCCAACCAGGCCCCTGTAGTTCTCACCGTCGGGGTTTGTCCCCGGGGCACCGCCCTGCTGCTGCAGCACCCCTGCAGCGATGGAGTTGGGCCAGAATCTTTGGGTGGGTCGGTGCTGCGACTTGATTTTCTTAGCTTTCGGGGCAGGGTCTGGGTTGCTGGCATCAAGCATGGGCTGTAGGATGCGCCTCCGGGCATTGATGAACCTGCCGGGGTAAAGATGGAGACGGGTCAGTAGCAACCAGGGGTGGGGGCAGGGCCGTGTGCACAGGTGTGTGCAGGTGTGTGCAGAGAGCGCTAAACTGCTTCTGGACTCAGCAGCTGGTCCTTGTACAGAACAGACTGGGGTCTGGTCTAGGGCGTGAAAGTTTACAGCTGGACGAGCCCTGGGCACCGAGGAGCTTGTGAAATCATCAGGGGCTTGGTGCCCACAGACCAGCGTGGGACAAATGTGTGCAGGGGGGCAAGAATCTCTGCTCTGCACCTGTCAGGACTGAACAGAGGAAGAAAGAATCCCCTTAGTCAAAGGCACTAACCTCTGACCTCTCTGCAGAGGGCAATGCTTCCGTTCCCATCCAGCCAGACCTTGCTCTCAGATTTCTGTGACCGCCCAGCCAGGCACAGAGAAGGGAGCTCGCAGATCCCTGTGGGGTCAGAACTGCCGACTCCTCCCCCTCCTTCCCACACCCAACTTTGCAGAATATTTTAGATTGAGTTCCATTCACATGAGTCGTGGGTAGACCAGATGACCACGGGTGGCCCTTTGGGTCCTGGGATGCACGCAGGCATTTCTGTGCGCCTGTAGTACAAGCAGTGCTGGGTTTTCTACTCAGGAGGAAGCTCCCAGTGCTGTTCTTGACACAGTTTCCCAGCAGAGGGCGCCACGAAGCTGCAGATGAAGCTACAGGCGCTGGTGTTGAGTCAGGATTTCTGCTTGTAGCCCAGAGGGGAGGGCTCGCTAGGCAGGACTGGGCATGCTAGCCTCTTTGCCCTGCTCTGCATTCCCATGGCCAGCAAGTGGCCCCTGGTCTGAGCCTCTGGGCCGGGGATGCTAACTCACCAGTTGTTCACTTGTAGGAGGGTGAGGTTTGTCTGGGCTGCAATCTGCCTCTTCTCATCCTCCGTGGGGTAGGGGTGCTGAAAGGAGAGGTGAAGGGCAAGTGAGGGGTGGGCACGAGGGAGCCTGGTCCCCCTGCAGACCGTGCCCACGACACAGGCTCTCTCCCGGGCCAGGCAGCTCCAGTGGTTTGGAAGCCCAAACAGGGGAAAGTGTAATGTTTGTTTCTAGAAAGAATGGGCCCAGGGTTTGGAGGGAGGCTTCTCTGTGCTTGTGGGGGGCCACCCCACCCTCAGCCTAGCCCCCTGTGATGGGGGACCAAATGGTTTCTCAAGAGATGGTACAAAGCACTTCCACATCCTCACTTGGTCCTCACAGCCTCCCCCAAGCAGGCAGGTCAGGCAGCATTAGCGTTAGGATTTACAACAGCCTCAAAAGCCCACAGGACTATCGGAAGGTGGTAAATGGGGTGAATGAATGCATTTAATTTAAACTAACTGACATTTACTGAGAATCTACTATGTGTCCAGATTTACGCAGGCACCCTAGGAGATAAATACAATGATAACCACTGCTTGAGTATAATACCTTATAGCCTGTGAAATGCTTTCATGCACTTAATTTCACTTAATAAAGCGTGTCACTACAACTCTGTAGAGGCGGGGGAGGTACTGTTGTCCCCAGCTTTACAGATGAAGACACTGAATGACTATTTCCACTGTGCTCCGGATGGTGGCATCAGCTTGGAAGACAGGTCTTCCCCGCATCACTCCATGATGTCACTTTGTGAGCAGTCAGCATCGTTGAGGGGGGTGGTGAGTGAGGAAGTGGGGCGGGGTCTTCCGTCCCTGCACTGATGATATGTTTTTCAATCTCTTAGATTGTGCCTCATGAGGACAGAGACCAGGTCTTACTAATTCATCTTATTAACACATCCCCAGTGCCCTCCACGTGTAAATGATATGGAAGTGACTGCTGAGTGAAAGAAAGTAGAAACAAAGCAGTGGCAGCTGTGGTTTGGGTCCTGTGCACCAGAAAAGCTCAGAAGGAAAAACAGGTATTGGCCAGAACATTGGGAAGGCTGAACAGGTCCCATTAAAGACCAGGAAAGTTTTGGGTGGCAGTGGATCCCACTGGGTGGTGAGTCCCATGATGACTGGGTCTCTGTGTCTTTGTGTCTTTCTCAGCCTTCTGCACAACACCTGGCACCCAGTAGGCTTGCAATAGAGGTGTGATGAGTGGCTGAATGGGTCAGAGCTTTGCCCTGGCAGCTAGGGGAGATCTGGGGTGCTTAGGGTAGAGGGCCAAGCTATCCTCAGGCTAGAATCATCCCTTTTAATTGAGATGGTATGAGACAGTGGTGTTTGGGTTTCCCAAAGTCCCAAGGACCGAAGCTCAAATTCTGGCTCTATCATGACGAGCTATGAGAGCTCAGGTACGTCACTGAACCCTACATCACAAAGTCATCTAATGATTAAATGAAATTTTCCTTGTAAAGTGCCCAATGAGAGCCGGTTTTCATACTATTATTGGATGGTGTCAGCAAGGTGTTTAAAGCTCTCTAAGGAATGAGCTTGAGATCAACAGCCTCAGTAGAACTCTCATTATCTGTGACAAAGGAAAGCAACCTCTTCAGTGGCCTCAGAGTCCCTTGACTGAAGCAATCAGGACCGTGTGTTGTTTTAATTCACACCTCTGACCCGACTGCCATGCCAGAGCAGCTGGGACGTGTGATCCACAGAATATTAAGATTCTAACAAGAAGGAAAGCACATCAGTGTCATAGGAGCCAATTTCATCCTAACTGTGGAGGAGCAGAGGGAGGCTGGAGGAGAGGCCCCCAGGGGCAGAGGAGGAGGGGCTTTGGAGCCTCCTGGGGAGGGGTGGTGGCCAGGCCCTCCTCCCTTGCTCCATGGAGTTCCAATCTCTGGCCATGATAAGGGGCTGAGCAGCCTCCTTGTCCGGGGCCAGCCAGTCTGAGAACGCATTGAAAATACAGTCTCGGGGGAGAGGTTATAGCTCAAATGATAGAGTGCCTGCTTAGCATGCATGAGGTCCTGTGTTCAATCCCCAGCACCTCCATTAAATAAATAAAGAAAGAAATAATAAACCTAATTACCTACCCCTCAAAAAAAAAAAAAAGAAAGAAAAAGAAAGTACGGCCACGTCTTGGCCTTCCCGGGACCCACGAGGCCCTTCACGCCATTGCACATGCTCTTCCCTCTGCTGGATGCTCCTTCTCCCGCTTTCCCACTGCCTGTTTATGAGCTTCTGCAAAGGCCTATCACAGATCAAATCCTCTGTAAGGCCTTTCCCAGCTTCCTGGGGCAAAGCGAGTCACAGCTGCATTTGAGCAATTGCCTTTAGCCCAGTCTATGATGATGTCTCCCCATCTCCTGGGAGCTGCTCTCAAGCAGGGACCCAGTCTTGTTAGACATCATATCTCCAGTGTCCAGACCAATAGCACGCAGCGTAGATATTCAGCTTGTGTATGAAAGGATGAGAGAGCCAGCACAAGAAGACTGGCTCGTTTCCTGAGCAGAACAAGGCTGGCTTTGCCAACCATGCCAGTTCATCACCCTACAAATGCTCGGAAGCTGCTACACCCCAGGTGCCGGCAAGTGAAGACACCCGGCTGACAGCTTAGAGGGAAACACTACAGACAAAGGGAAAACCCTCTATTAAGTAGTGTGCAACGGCGGGGGGAGGGCATGGCTCAGTGGTAGAGTTCGTGCCTAGCATGCGTGAGGTCCTAATCCTGGTACCCCCATTAAATAAGTAAATAAACCTAATTACCCCCTCCCCCAACAAACAAAAAGAATAAAAACAAAGAAGTAGTGTGTAAGTTCCCTTTGGGTGGTAAGAGAAGGGTGGGGCTGGACTGGTCAGGGGATACTTCCCCGGAGAGGTGGGACTTCATTTGGACTTTGGAGATGGCCAAGCCATCCTAGTAAAGGAGAGGCTGGCATTCCAGGCTGGAGCCTTGAACTAGGACTTATATTCCAAGACAGTCAGATGCAAATCTCTTCCAACATTAAAGACCTCCAGAGAAGGAAGCCCTTCAGCCTCCCCCAGATGATGTCTGCTGTGTGTAAGGAGGCTTCTGGTGGGCCTCCGTTCTGAGTGAAGCTCATAAATCCAAAGACTAACCACCTTATATTCAATGCGGAGGGAGCAGAGGCAGTGTCACGGCCGGTTGTCCCCTTACGGATGAGGATACAAACCCCTTATCCTTCTGAGGTGCGAGTCCCACCACCCACCCGTCCTGGGACCAGTATCTCAGGAGGCACGTGGTGGGGGCCATGGGGTGAGCGGCAGCATTTGGCCCAGCTTTGGGGACAGGTGTGTCAGTCAGAACATTCCTGGCACCACATCTGAGTGCTCATGGGAGCAGTCCAGCTTGTACACGCCTCTGACCAGATGATTCCTGAGGACAGAATCAAAATAGGCCTGGCCTCTGGACAGCCCTTGGTTAGGTAAGGGCTACTTTTATCCCAGCTGGAAAGGCTCAGGGCCAAGGACAGGGAGAGGGACCCAGTGAGAGCGCGGTCAGCCATCGAGCCATGGTAGCCGCCTTCTGATCACTATTTGGAGGAAGCCTCCAGAGTCGGGAGGGAGGGGACAGACAGCAGCCCTCTAGAGGAGACAGAACTGACCAGAAAATTAGGGAGCCTCGCACGGCTAGGCAGTGCTGCCTGCTGCTTCAGAGCATGGCCTTTGGAGAAGTCCTGCACCCACCACTTAGCCAGTGTGCGACCTTGGCAATTTATTGTTCTATGCCTTCCATCCTTAGTTTCCTCAGCTTAAAACGGAAGTAACGAGAGGGTGCCTACTCCTTGGGCTTTGCGGATGATCGGATGAGATACTGCAGACAGAGCACGGGTGCTCCCCTGACTCACTCTGCACAATGGAGTGACGCCCCCAGACACTGTGTCGTTAACATTCAGGCTCCAGGGAAGGGAATCACAGTGTTTATACTGAGTAGGCATTTTGTGGCACCACAGTTACCATCAGGAAGCAACTGACTTCTAACCCAACTCTTTCCCTGATGCCTCCCGTTTGGCCCCATAACTCAAGTCTCATTTGGGCTAAACTGAAGCTGACGGCATCTTTCAGTTTGAAGAGTGGGTTCCTGGGTCCCGGGTCTGAAAGCAGCTTAGCCAGGCTTGTTCGTAAGCCCCTGGCCACATCTTCCACTCAGAGCCCACCTGGAGATGATCCGCCCCCTCCTAGCCTGTGCGGACAAGCAGGAGGCCGGCCAGGTGCCCGGGGGACACAGCCCGTGGGGACCAGCAGCCTGCAGGTGTGAGTCAGCCCCGTGCTGCCGCAGGAGCAGGGCTGGGAGCCGCTCTCCTGTCCCACTTTCTCGCCGTGACCGGCACCGCCTGGGGCTCAACCATACCCTCCTCCTCACTCCTGGCCAGCTTGGGCAGGAGCCACAGCCTGTGAGCCTGGCACTGCTCTAGGGGGGGCCAGAGACCAGCCAGAGGGAGGCAGGCAGCCAGGATGGTGAGGGGCCCCGGAACAACCACATGTCATCACATCTAAGATGCCATCCATGGCAGGACACACCCCAACTTCAGAAAGCCTAACTGGGAAGAGACATTTCTTCTGGAAGAACGTAAAATACTTCATTTTAGAACGGAGAGGAGCGCAGAGGTCACCCAGGGAACCGCCCTCCCCTGCCGTGCTGCCCTCGCTCAGACGCCCCACTCCCCCGTCTCGCTCTCTTCCACATCCCTCCCCACTTACAACTGGGTACACATGGAAGAGCGCACGGAGCTAAGGGGCACAGCTTCGTGTATTATCACAAGCACCCATGTGACCACCATAGAATCCTACCGGCACCTCAGAAGGTCCTTTTCTACCCCAGAGATATCCTCCCCCAAGATAACCTGATGTTTATGGTAATGATGTGTTTGCTTCTCTTTATAGTTTTACTGTGTTACGTTCTTAACCGTTATGGTTTAGTTTTGCCTGGTTTGGGGACTCTGTAAGTGGAATCTTACAGCATGTAGTTCACTGCACAGCCAGCTGTGAGACCCGTCTATGGTGGCTCTGTGTGACGACCACATTCACGT